CTCAAGGGAGCCGACTGCTTGTCGGACCGCCTGTAAATACTTGATCATGGCCGGATGGGTTGCTTCGTATTCGCCATTGTACTGACTCACTATCAATTGTGAATCTGAACAGGCGTCTATTTTTCTTGCCCCTGCCGCCTTGCACATGCGGATCCCGGCTAGTAAAGCTTCATATTCTACCTCATTGTTTGAAGCCTGAAAACTGAAGCGTAGAGCATACTCGAACCTGTCGCCCTCTGGAGATTGACATACGACGTCTGCTCCACAACCATTTGAAGTAGAGCTTCCGTCCACATATACCTTCCAGACTTGGTCTGGAACTTGAGAGTCATGAGGACGAGTCATCTCTACAATAAAGTCAGCAAAGGCTTGCCCCTTCACTGCTTTTCTAGGCTCGAAGGTAACTTCGAGGCTCTGTATTTCTATGGCCCATTTGATCATTCGTCCTGACGACTCCATGATGGTAAGGGGCCGCTTGATTGGTTGGTCGGTATACACGACGACTGCATGTGCCAAAAAGTAGGGCTTCAATTTTTTAACAGCCATGAAGAGTGCAAGACCAAATTTCTCCACTAGGGGATACCTCAACTCGGCATTTTTCAGTACGTGACTGACAAAGTAGACCGGGAGCTGACAGCCGTCCCTTTCAGCAAGGAGCACAGCGCTTAACGCATGATCAGAGACGGCCAGGTACATGTAGAGATCTTCTTTGGGCAAAGGGCTGACCAGCCTCGGCAAGGAATGCAAGTGAACCTTTAATTTCTGGAAGGCGGCCTCAGCATCCGGCCCCCATTCGAACCTTGCCTTTTTCTTAATTGCCTGGAAAAAGTATAGGCATTTGTTGCCTGATCGGCTTAGGAATCTCCCCAAGGCCGCCAGACAACCTGTTAACTTCTGAACCTCTCGGACGGTACGAGGCGACTGCATGTCAATGACCGCCTGTACCTTCTCAGGGTTCGCCTCTATTCCTCTCTGATTGATAAGGAATCCGAGAAATTTCCCAGACTCAACTCCAAATACACATTTCTTGGGATTGAGCATGACATGGTGCCGCCTGAGTGTGGCGAAAGTTTCTCGGAGGTCCGCCAGATGATCTTTCTGAAGTTTAGTCTTGACAATCATATCATCAATATATGCCTCGACGTTTCTCCCAATCTGATCAAAGAACACTGTGTTTATCATTCGTTGGAAGGTAGCCGGGGCATTCTTAAGACCAAACGGCATGACCGTGTAACAGTATAATCCCTGATCAGTGACGAAGGCCGTCTTCTCCTGATCTTTCTTCCATAAAGGAATTTGATGGAAACCAGAATAGGCGTCCATGAAACTCATCAAGGCATGGCCGGCTGTTGAGTCGACCAGGTTATCAATTTTAGGCAGAGGGTAACTGTCTTTGGGGCACGCCTTGTTTAAGTCTGTGTAGTCTACACACATTCGCCAGATACCATTCGGCTTTTTAACAAGCACCACATTTGCAACCCAATCTGGGAAGTAACATTGTCGAATGAACCCTGCATCAAGTAATTTTTTGACTTCGGCGGCTGCCGCCTGACTTCTTTCTTCGCCATGGTTTCGCTTCTTTTGCCGTACCGGCTTCTTTTTTGGATCCACAGCGAGTTTATGTACCGCCAGATCAGGACTAATGCCTGACATTTCATGGACTTCAAATGCAAAGATGTCCTTGTATTCTTTCAACAGGTTGTGAAAGTCGTCACCAAGGTTTCTCAGAGCAGTCGTCCCAACTTTGACTGTTCGGTCAGGGCGTGAGTCGTCTAATATCAGGTCCGCGTGCTCACCAGCCGGCTGAGGGCGGAACTCATCCGGCCGCTCCTCTGCCAATGATTGCTATTTTCTTGCTTTTCTTGCGGACTCTGTCTGGGACGCCTTTCTCTTTTTGTCGCCTGTTTCTTGAACAGGCGCACTCTCCTTGACATTGTCAAGGTCTGTTTTTTCTCCACTTGACCCAGTGGCCATAACAGTGGGCTTGACATCCGAGAGATAGCACTCTCGGGCCATCCTCTGATCTCCCCTTAGGGAGCCGACTGTTCCATTATCCCTCTCAAACTTAAGCAGCATAAGAGACGGGATTATAACAGCCTTGGAATTATTCAGGGTTGGTCGACCCAGAATCATGTTGTAGGCCGAGAGTTCCTCTACCACTAGGAACCGGACTACCATGTGTCGTCCTTCCCCTTTTTCGCCCAGGCGAATGGGTAAATCTACTCGTCCCAGTGGGTGGACTCCTCCTCCTCCAAACCCTATTAAAGGGTGGGAGGCCGGATGTATGCAGTCCGTCTGATATTTCAGTTTTGACAGACATTTGCTGCTGATGAGATCTGAGGAGCTCCCGGTATCTATGAGGATTCGGCCAACTCTCTGGTTGGCCACTTTACATTCAATAACGAGAGGGTCATCATGCGGCCCCCTTACCCCTCCTAGATCCTCTTCAGTGATGACAATCTCAGGGAATGTATATTTGGACGGCCGTTCTTGGTGAACGGAATTTACATCTAACCGCCTTATATTATCCTTATTGCCCCTAATAGTGGGGCCGCCTCCTGAGAAGCCGCCTGCAATGGTGTAGACGACTGCATCATCTGTATCGGAACTGTCGGCCTGTTGATTCTTTTTGGCCGACTGCTTTTTTGAGGAGGTGTTCCCCGTAGATTTCTTGACATAAGTGTCAAGATCACCTTGCTCAGCCAAGCGGTCTAGGTACCGCATGAGACTAATGCAGTCATTGGTGTGATGACCAACGTCATCATGATAAGCACAGATTTTGTCTTGGTTCCGGTTGCTTGCAGAACCCTTCATGGGGAGCGGCTTCTCAATTGAGAACCGTCCCTTTATTTCTTTTAGGATAAACTGGTTATCCTTGTTAAACACATACTTTGGGGAGTATGGTTTGAATTCTTTTTTCTTTTTCTGAGCCGGCTGTTTAGAGGAGTCAGCCGCCCAGACCTCTTTTCTTTTCTCATCTTTGTTGGACGACTGTTTCTGTCGTCCCTCTCTTTTGTCGAACCTCTTCCCGTCCGACTGTTTTATCGTACACAGATCAGTCGCCTGTATATAGGCTTCTGCTTCAATCAAGGCCTCTTGAAGAGTCGCCACCCTTTTTCGAACTAAATCAAATTTGAAGGTAGACCCGTCTTTGAGACCTCTAAAAAAGTCAGTATAAGCTACCTCATCCGGTAACCCTTGAATCTGTATTCTCATCAGGTTGAACCGCCTGATGTAAGAACGAAGCCCCTCCTTCTCGCCCTGCTGAATTGTTCCCAAATCAAGGGTCGTTTTCTTCGCAGGGATGTTCATAGCGAAGTTGGAGGCAAATAAGTAAGCAAGCGTCCTGAAGCTGTTTACACAACCAGTCGGCAGGTTGCCGAACCATTGCTGTGCAATTCCCTTGAGAGTCGCTGGGAAACACTTGCACCAAGTGGGATCATCCAACCCTTGAAGGTACATCAGGTTGGTGAATGCCATCAGATGGTCTTCTGGGTTAGTAGTGCCGTCATAGGCGCCTACTAGAACATTTTTTACTTTGGCCGGCTGAGCGGCTTCAGTAATTTCCTTGGAGAAGGCCGACGGCTGTTCACCAAGTCTAAGCAGCCGTAGCTGCCAGTCCATAGGTTGGACGTTTTTTGCTGCAGGTCCACCAAATGGAGGTGGCTGCATAAAATACTGTTGTTGCGGCACAAATGGTAAGTTTGGTACCGCCTGGGCACTATGAAAGCCGGACTGACGGGAGGTGCCGCCTGACTGACTCTCATGGTACGACTGAGTATGCCTCATCGAGGCATTTCGCAAACTGTCTTGAAAATTTGAAGTAGAAGCCGACTCTGATAATCGGTCACTCTTCTTCTGCTCTAGCAGGAGCCGAGCATCTGTGAACGTTTGCTTTGACCCGTCCGCCTGAATATGACGAACCGGTTTCCTATTTCCCGTAGGATAACGGAGTTTTGTGAAATCAAGAGCAGGTGGCTCCCGCTTCTTGGATTTAGGATGAGGAGTCGCCTCTCGCCCTTGAACTGGCTTCCTCTTCAGTGAAGTGGAAGGTTTCTTGGCCGACTGCTCTTTGACTGAAGCATGCGGTTTTTTGTTGATCAACTCTTGAATCTCTCCCTTGAAGTCCCTCATGAAGGTCATGAGTTCGTTCCTTGTGATGGGAGCAGACCCATCAGTCGGCTGTTGCCGAGCAGGCGGTGCGCCTGCTGGCTCGCTTCCTGTTTGAAGATGCTCCCGTTCCCTCCTTTCGGTATGACGGGTACGTCGGGCCTTAGGGTCCCGTCTGGAGCTGTATGAGTTTCAACTTCAAATTCACTTTCGGTATCATGGTCCGACTGAACTTGAGGATCGTCTAGGGGACGCCTCTCTTCAGGAGTCGGTACAGACTTGGATGCCATCTCTGAAGTACTCTCCCCACAGACGGCGCCAAATGTTTCGGGGTTTTCTGATGTCCTGCGGGAGAGTTACAATTCCGAGACTGGAACCGGACGCCTGTACCTGCAAAATAACGGAGACTCCTGAGAGCTCCGCCTCCAACGGTCAAGTTAGTACCTGATTAAGGAGTAATTAATACGGAAATTAAAGTAATAAGATCTCTCTAGGTGAGAGTGCTTAGTGTTGGTAATCTGCGTCGTTAGCGAGATTAGCCGGTTGTTGGTGTTCCGTAATAACTCTGTTCTTCTCTGCTTGATTTCTTGATCTCTCGATTACCTAACTAATGAGGATTAATTAAGTATTTATAGCCTTGAGAAGCGTGCCACTCTCTAGGTTTAAGGTAAACCTAGGGCTGATCGGGCCTCTAGACTGGATTGGGCCTTGATGGCCGGTTTTCCCATTTGGCATGGGTGGACACGTGGCGTGCCTTGATTGGTCCGTAGAGGACGTATCTGTGATTGACACGTGGCAGGCTCCTATTGGCCTTCGTGAAAGACCCGTGGCGGAACCTGGTTGGTCCACTTGTCAGACGGTGATTGGTGGATAAAAATCCCCTAATCAAGTTCTTTTTTCTGTTTTAAATCAGATTATCAGAATGTCCACAAATATGGATAATGGTGAAGAGAATGTCCCTATTGAGGAGCATGAATCTGACAATGAAAAATCCAAACCCAAGAGGAAGAGAATGAAGGATCGTTCTGAGGTTTGGGAGCACTTTATCAAGGAAGAAACACACACTGGAATGGAAGCACGTTGCAAGTACTGTGGTATGAGATACAAGTGTGGTACAAAGAGAAATGGCACTAGTCCATTGTGGGCTCATATAAATAGATGCCGTAAGTACCCCTATAATACTCCTAAAGAATCAAAACAAAGTTTGTTGTCTTTCAAAAGCAATAAAATTGAAAGTGGTTGTACTAGTGGATTGTCTTATGTGAAATATGATCCAACAGTAATTAGAAAAGCTTTATCTGAGACGGTTATAGTTGATGAATTGCCTTTTAAGTTTGTTGAGGGAGTAGGCTTTAAACAATTTTGTAATGTAATGGAGCCTAGATTTCATGTCCCTTCCAGAATTACTGTGGCTAAAGATTGTTATGAAACTTTTTTAACTCAAAAAAGAAAGCTGAAATTGGTATTAAAAAGTGTAACTCAAGGGTTTCATTAACAACCGATACATGGACATCTATTCAGCAAACTAATTACATGTGCTTGACTGTTCACTTTGTTGATAATGACTGGATTTGCAAAAACGTATTCTGAATTTTTGTCCTATATCAAGTCATAAGGGGGAGGAAATTGGGAAAGAAATTGAGAAATGTTTGCTTGATTGGGAACTTGAGAAAGTATTTTGCATAACTGTTGATAATGCTAGCTCAAATGATACCGCAATAGGATATATGAGAAGGAAAATAAATGGTTGGAAAGCTGGGGTTCTTAAGGATCGGTTCCTTCATATGTGTTGTGTTGCTCATATTGTGAATTTGGTTGTGTCTGATGGCTTGAAAATTGTTAATGAGTCTATTACTCGTGTGAGACAAGCTGTAAGATTCATCAAATAATCCCCTTCTAGGTTGGTAAGGTTTAAAAAATGTGTTGTGGAAGAAAAAATCAACTCTAAAAAGTTGTTGTGCCTTGATGTGCCTACTAGGTGGAATTCCACCTTTTTAATGTTGGATGCTGCTTTGGTGTTTGAGTATGCTTTTGAGAGGTACTCTGAGGAGGACCCTCATTATGTGATTGAGTTAAATGAGAGGGAGGGGAAGGGTTGCCCTACTTCTGAGGATTGGGAAACAGTCAGAAGGTTTTCTGAATTTTTACAAGTCTTTTATGATCTTACTTTGCGTGTCTCTGGGTCTTTGCATGTGACTTCCAATTTATTTTTCCATGAATTGGTGAGTGTTGCTGTCCTTTTGAAAGATTTGATGACAAATGATGATGTGGAGATGTGTCTTATGGCTACTAAAATGAAGGAGAAATATGACAAATATTGGGGTGATCCGGAGAAAATGAACATGCTGATTTTTATTGCTGTTGTGCTTGATCCTCGTTATAAGTTAGATTATGTTGAGTGGATGTTAACTGAAATTTATGATTCTAAGCATGCATTTGTTTTGGTGAATAATTTGAAAGAGTCTTTGAATGCATTGTATGAGGAGTATCGTGGTTCTTCTGGTGATGTGATTAGGGAGGAAGTGTCCTCAAGTATGGACAGTTCCCAATTTTCTCCCAAACAAAAGAAGCTTCAGGTATTGAAGAGTAAGTATAAGAAACATAAGTGTGAGAAAGATGGAGAAGCAAAAATTGAGTTAGACAAATATTTAGAAGAGGAAACGGAGGAGGAATGTGAAAATTTTGATATTTTGGGGTGGTGGAAGTTTAATAGTGCTAGGTTTCCAACAATTGGAAGAATGGCCCGTAATATACTTGTTGTCCCTATCTCAACAGTAGCCTCTGAGAGTGCATTCAGCACTGGTGGTAGGGTTCTAGACCCATTTAGGAGCTCCTTAACTCCAAGGGTCGTTGAAGGACTTGTTTGTGCTCAAAATTGGCTACGTTCTTCTCCGTTTCCTAATATAGAAGAGTGTTTACAAGAAGTTGAAGATCTTGAAGAAGGTAACATAAAACAACAATTATCATGTTATTTTTTTTCATTATTTCATATATATTATGTAACTTGTTTATTTTTTTTAATGTTATTAGACTTGAGGAATATGACAATTGGTGGTCAAAACCCGGACTTGGTTGAGCTTGATTGAGAGTTAGCTGCCAAGAATGAAGCTGCCCTATTGATTGAAGACTTGAAGTTTCTGCCAAGAGCCTAAGAATGAAGCTGCCCTGTTGGTTGAACTAGTTCATTTGTGGACTGTTTGTCTGTTTTATTATCAATTCATCATGTGGACTGTTTTGATAGTTTTAAGACTTGTTAAGTTCTTATGTCTCAATGTGGACAATGTGTAAGTGTATTTAATTACTATGGCAGTATGGCTGGACAATTTAGTTACTATGGCAGTATGACATATGGTTGTGACTTGTGAAAGTTGTATGTTAAAATTTATGCTTTCATTTTGTTCAGGAACATGAACAAAATTTAGGCCTTTAAAAGGCCCAAAATTATATGCCCAATAAAAAGCCCAGATTTTAAGGCCCAATACAACAGCCCATAAAAATTCGGTTTGGATTGGATTTAATTCTCAAAACGAATTATTTCGGTTTGGATTGGATTGGATTGAATCCAAATTCGGTTTGGATTCGGTTTTAAAAATCCGAAACCGAAATAATTCGGTTTGGATTCGGTTTGGGGTGTAATCCAAACCGAATACCGAACTTTCACCCCTACTTTTTACTGTTGTTTCCTATATCTTTTTACTCCTCCGTTCTTTTATTATTGCATTATAAGATTTTGGAGGCAAAATTTAGAAGTGGAAAAAAGTAAAAGAGAAACGTAAAAATACAAAATTGTCCATGTAATGTAAAGATAAAATAAAAAGTAAGTGTGAAAAAGTAAGGATATGTTGGGTATTTAGTATTTACAATGTAAACATAAATATTTTTATCCTAAAATGAAAGTGATCGTAATATTTGTGAATCTTGCCTAAAAGTCAAATAATGCGATATTAAGAGAACGAAGCAAGTATTACACGTAGGTAACTCCGTACAGCTGGCCAACAAGTATTACACGTCACAGTCCATATAAGGGGTAAAATCAGGTGGAATTACAGTATTGCCCCATGCGAAACAACGAGGAATTACCCCTATTTTACCACCAAACACGGCAAACAGCAATGGCGGAGGAGAGAGAAAGAGAAGGTCAATCAGCAATGGATTCCAACGAAACAACCCCTCTTCTAAAACCCACATCAGAAATCACCCCTTCAACAACAATCGAAGAACAACAAAATCGAAGATCAGTGAAAACAAAAGTACCGGAGATTGAACTCCATGTTTATCGACAAGGAAAGGGTCCGATTGCGGTGGCAAAATCAACCCTTGGTGGTTGGGATCAAGATCAATTAGAAGTTCGAGATATAATGGAGGAATATGGATTTAAATGTATTTATGCTTTTAATCCTAATGATGGTGGTCGTACTGTTCCGATTCGATTTCATCCTAGGAATGGCCGCTCTTTGCTTACTTATAAAGATGGCTCTGTCATTTCCATTGATGGTGAACCCAAGGTTTTCGTCATTCCCTCTTTTTGTTTCATTTTGTTTTCAATTTATGATTACAAACAAATTGTTGGGTTTTTGTTATTAATAAGGTTTGAATTGGATTTGATTGGTTCTACTGGTTTTCTTCATTCCCTCGTATTGAATCATTTTGTTCTGAATTTATGATTACAAAAAAATTACTGCGGTTTTGGGATTTTGTTAGTAACATGGTTTAAATTGGAGTTGATTTATTCTAGTTTTGGAATTATTGAGTGGTCACTAATTGTATGATTTGATTTATTGGGGGTTTTGGAATTTTGGTGGACTGTTTTGATTTTGTTTTAGGGTTTGGATTGGCTTTAGATTGCTTCTAGAGTTCTAGTTTTGGGAGTTTTACAGATTAATGATTGTGTGATTTGATTTGATTGATTTTCTGGGTATTTGTGGATTGTTCTAAATCTTGTAATTTTATTATTTTGGTTTGAAATTTTGAATAGGTTTGATTGCTTTAAGATGTTGGAATTCTAGTGATCAATAGTGTGGTAATTGATTTTAATTTGCTAGCTTTATGCTGCTAAGTGATGAACACCTTGACTTTTTATTTATAATCCATTGATTGTAAATTTGTGATGTTTATAAGGAATTTAGGATATATGATATGAGGGGCTGAATAGTTTATACTTTCGACGTTCCTAAATAAGTGCTAGTCATGAGGCTCCATTATTTATGAGGTCATTTGAGGAGGAGAGATAGAGAGAACCTACTATCAAACAAAGTGATGTCGAAATTTATTTGAAATTGCCGTAATAGGGAAGTGTTGCAAATATGATGAATAATGAATGCTGGAAGTAGGTTACTGTGTTTATAGCTCATTTGATATGATGGGATGATTTCGTTTTGTTTGATTAATGTGGTGATCATGAGGTTTTATGTGGTAATTAAATAGATATCCAATTTGATAATATTTTGGTTGCTATTGGGTACTCGTTACGACTTGAAATCTGTGAGGATCGGATTGATTTAGAGACTTTGAGTATTTTATGAGGTATTAATTCTTAGAGAGATGTGTTTCTACTTAATCTTTAGTGTTCGGGATGTCTTTGTCATTAGTCTGATGGAAATTAGCATAAATGGATAAATTGGATGCAACAACCCAAATGAACATGACCCCGCTAATATATCATCCCTACCAACAACAATAAGAGTACTAATAAAGTCAATAATAATGATAAAAAGAGAACACTAGTAAAAATCTCCATCTTTGATACTAAGAACTTCATGGTATGAAGCTTGACACTTTGTCTTTCTGTTCATCGTAAATCTTGATATACAACTCTAGATCTTTTTCATCTTCAATAGTGACAACCTGATAAATTAGGTCTTGGACTTGAGTGATTTTTTTTCTAGCATTTGGGTCCTCAGGCTCCCTGATCATCCAGTCATCATTATCAGAAGGAATATCAAGAACCATCTCTCAAAAATCCTCTTATAAGTTTTCAGCTTGTGTTTTGATTCTTTGCTATTTTAAATTCGAACAAATGTTGGAGCCCTTCCTCAGACTTACCATTTTATAAAAATCCTTTTCATGGTTTCCAAAATGTCTTCGTTTTTGGTCCCTTGCCGTTGTTAGCCATACGTGAAACACAACTATTCTCTTCTCTAGCAAATAAGGATTACAAGCCTTAAAAATAAATTTGTGCTGCTAGCAAATTAGAATTACAAGCCTTAAAGATAAATTTGTGCTGCTAGCAAATTAGGATTACAAGCTCCCCTAATCCTTGGTGAGAACTCTGATGTTACTTTAATTGCAAGCAAGAAGCTTTCTTGTGCTGCTTCCTTCTCTAGATTATGTCCTGACGTTATGCTTGTGTCTAACTAGTTTGTTACCAATCCCAATGTTTGCTATTAAATTATTTGTTCTCCTTGGTTTATAAGCCTATTGACTTATCCTGTTATGGTTGTGATTTTCCTGTAGGACTCCATGATCAAACCTGTTACAAGGATTGTTGTTGGTGTGGCTCTTATGACAGTCTTGATAGCTGTTGTGGTAACTGAATCACCTGTCTGGGCTGAAAAATTTAACATGAAGGGATGGAGAATCCCTCCCTGGGTTCTTACATGTGCGATCATTGTTTTCACTCGCATGAGGAAGAGAACAAAGGAATATTTGCAGAATCGTGGTTGGTGTTAACAGGCCTTATAACCTTTTGAAAGCTAACATTCTCCCTCCTTTTTGTTCGATATTTTCTCCAATAATTTCACGTGTACTAAACAAGAAATATTGATCCAGTCATCCAGTTTTTGGCTGTTGAGATTCTCTATATCTTGTACATTTTTGCCAAGGTAGTCTTATGTGTAGTAATATTTGCTGATTTTGCTCTACGAATAATACAGTGTTTCCAAATACAGTCAATTCTATGCTGCCAATGATTTGAAGGATGCAACTCAACCATCTATAAATTCGAGCTAGCAATGTTGCAATTATGTCATTTATTGTTTAAAATAAAAAATACATAGTTTGAAGTTTCAGTGTTGCTTCATACTTCTCTCCTTTTCCAAGTATGTCACTACCTATACTCGATATCCAATCTTAATTATGTCATCAATCACGGCTTGCCATACCTATATAATATCCTTAACGTCTAAGCCAAACCTTACTACATAGCTAACTACTTCAATATAGTGCACCATCCAAGATAAAGGAACGGGAACTACCCTTATTCTATAGCCTATAAATATAAGGTCACCATTTCACAAAGGTAATGACAATTACTAGAAGTGTTCTACATGAAACCAAGTTAGTTGATAAGCCACTCTAGCCAAAAACAATATGGGGGCAATTTTTAAATGGCCCTACTTCCTAGATTCTTTTTGGTGTGTAGAGAGCTGCAAAGACAATAATGTAGACAAAATTTTATTTTAAGTTTTATATACCATCCCCAATACTTTAACCAGATATGGTAGTTGACATCCACAATGTTAAATTTTTTTATACACTCAGTAGAATGGGAACCACCATCAATTTCAAAGATAAACTAGTATACAATACAAATAGAGTCGGTCATTCAACTCTTAACACAAACAATTGACAAATAACCTTCATTTTCATTATAGTGACATCCCTGTACATCAGCCATATCATTGTGTGGGAAGAATATATACAAACAACACCCACATTTACACAGAACAAAAGGATCATTGTTGCTCTAACTTCTATTCGCCTTCCAAAACACCCGTCGGCTAGTTTTAGAAGGAAAAGAAAACAATTACCACATGAGGTTGCTGCATTACCAGCCAGCAATTTGGCAATTCTAACCAAAGCATTTAAAAGGAGCCTGTCCGAGCTGCAGGCTGTTAGCTTCCTTACTAACTAGACATCAATATCAGTTCGCTTAGATTTGGAGTAACTGAACTCTGAAGAAATATTTTGATAGATTCTTGGGAAACTATAGTTCTCAGAATTGGATACAGGTTGTTGAGGGTACAAAGTGGGAGGAGGTGGAAGATTACGTTGAGCTGGAAGAGGAGGATGGACGTTATGATTGTACAGATTGCTGCTCAACCTGCAATTTACATCACGAGATTAAAGATTACGAAGAGGATACAAATGTCTTAAGGATTTAACTAACAACATCAAACAAGGAATGTTTCAATTTAATATACTAAATGTCAACTTAGATTACAATGTTTGGTGCCAATGCCCTAAGAAAATCAGAAAACAAGCATATGCCACATAATGACATAGTATCTCTTACACACTGCAAACAGAACTCCATGTTCGTATATCAATGAGTATAAATAAGAACAGTACATTAGCTTCCTTCCATTAAAGTCCCCCTGCCAGAAACTTTCTTCAAATATAAA